GCTGAACCGTATTGTTGTTGTTGTTGACCTTTGTCCAGGGTATGAGCTCAGTGCAACAGCCTCTTGAAGTCATAGAGTGAGTGTGTGGGAGGAGTTGTTGACTTGTTATACAGTGCATTGTTTCGATGGGAAGCTCTTTAGAAGACTGATTCACCGCGTTTGTCACATTCAGGTCCATATCCTGTCATCCTTTAAACTGTCCTAGACTTAGAGCCTAGAGATGTAATGGCATGTTTGACTCTGGGTCCACTCAAAGAGGATGACCCGGGTCGTCACATTTTTTTCTCAGCATTTCTCACATCAGGAATGTATAATTCAAACTGTTTGTCAGGCGTCTTAGGGGATAAGAGATGAGCTGCTTTTGACACTGAACTGGGGAGTAGCTAAACAGGATAGGGCTACAGAATGGACAGGCGTGCACAGTGATTAAGTTTAGGCTAGTGATGACATAGCCACATAAAGTCTGTCTGCCTCCAGTCCTCAGCTGGATGTCTAGCTATGATCAAACAAACTGCATCTCCAGCTGTTTCCAGAGGTGTTTTCCCCATCATCAGTTCAAACTGAAGGAGGAAGCAGGACACATGAGGAAGAGCAGAGCCTCTCAAGCTAATCTGTTAGGAGAATGGCTTGTTGGGTGGCTTCACCCTAAGTATCAGTTCTTGCTCCTTCCAATCAGCCTGTGAGCATACTGGGACTGAACTTCTAAATCTTTGCCTCATTTACTTGGTGAAGGCTGGTAGCATTATCACTAACATGCAGCGGATGGAAAGCCTGGTTCCCACTCTGGTCAGGTTGTAGTAAATTGGCATGGCATATGGAGAAATCTTTGAACAATGATCTGTGAACTTTTCAAGAATGAGAGGAGCTGAAGTAGGAAGTGAACAAAAAAGGGAAATCATAAGCACGTTGTGGTTTAAGTGCTGTTTGCGGAGACAGCATTGTGAGTCACTGAGCCGTTCACTTTCACTGAGCTTCACAAGTTCCTGGAGCTCCCCGTATTGTGTGGCTAGTACTCTGGCACAGAACACAAGCTCTGACCACTCGGCTTGCAGAGAGGATTCTCACATTTTATTGGCAGCCTGAGAAAAGCTGGAGGACCCATTGTTGTCCTTTAATTGCACACTGCCCTGGCTTGGATGTTATTTATTGTTGTCACCCTTGTTGTGAGAGTTTGGAGTCCCGTATTGACAACAGATGTGGGTTTAAATGAAGTCTAACCTTGTCCAAAAAAAGAAAATGATAATGATCTATAATTTACCATAGATTGTAAAATGTCTCTGGCTGCTTTAGAGAATAGAACTTCTAAACTGCTATGGCTTTTATCAGTTTTACTGATTTAACCACGCTCTCTGGCTATGGCTTTAATTTATGGCAGACCTCTGCAGGTTAGTGTTCTATGGTCGGCACCCCCTGCTGGGATCTACCAAGCTTTCCTGTCTCTCACGGCCACTGGGAGAGATGTGAATGGGTCCTGTGCTTCCTGATGTAGGGACATACTTGTACTGCTGTTGCTTTCTGTTCACAGAAAGGTGCTAATATTAGCAAGTGCAAAGAGATGTTTAATTTCTCTACACTGTAAATTTGGTCATGTTTAATTAGCTGTAGTATGTTTTAATTTCTCAGTGAAGCTTGATCTGTTTGTATAGAAATACTGTTTGGGTTGAGAACAGAAAAACAGTGAAGAGGTGAAAAGTAAAATATTATTGCTAATTTTGGATCATTGCATTTTCACATAAAGCCTTGCTTTTCTTGCAAGTGAAATTCAACATTCCTGCAAGGAAAAGCATTACAGCTGGGAAACCCAATTCTGCAAAGTATTGTTTTTGATTAAAAAGGATTCAATTGACTTAATCAGATGGAGAGAAAAGATTTATGAGCCGAGTTGATTCAAAGGTTAGGTTTCCAAGTATAACTGTAATAAATTACGTAGCATTAAATCACTTCTGTTGTATTATCAAGGCGTGCAAGCTGGTAGGCCTAAGTCCAATAATATGCGAGGACATGCTCTTTCTGTCAGTGCCAACAATAACATCCTTGTGTTTGAACTGAGTCTTCAACTATTTTTGTTTGAGTTTTCCATCACCATGACAAACATCCAAACTGATTCTGCCAAGAACTGTAGGACTCAACATCATTTTCCTCTATGAAATTGTTTCCTCACTAGTCAGCAGTTATAATTTAATATATATGGAAGTACTTTGGCTCATAATCTTTGGAGAAATGTGTCCTCGTGACTCGACAGAAAGTTGGACAGAAACTTGGCCACACAGCAACACGGCTAAGATAGAAGCACTTTTTTTTCACATCTAATCTAAGGGGAGTGGAAGCTTTTTAATACATGATGATGATTGTGTTATCATGGAGTTGATGGCAGCTATGACCTACAATACCTAGTGATCTTATTTTCACCCCTGAGTGCTAGAAACATACCTTGCTCTAGAACGGCATGGGCCCCTTGTGGGAAAGACGGGGCCGTGGGCGTCTCCTCTTCCAGCCGGCTGGTCTGTGGGTCTGACCGCCCCTTGTAGGGTTTTGCTGGACCATTTTTCTCACCGTAGTTGCCTCTTCCACTTCTTTGCCATGCTCCGTGGAGGCCATGGGACCTGGGGGACAAACACACACAGACCAATTAGATCCCAAAAGTGGCCTCTCCAGTAAATGCTATTTCACTCAGAGTATCAAATTTTGATTATGAGCCAAATCCATCAGTGCCTATGAAAAATGTGTAGCAAAATTCACACAGGGATCACAAGGGTAATGGATAAGGAAACAAGCCATGTGTATATTTAAGTGTGTGTTGGGTGGGGGATCCTCTAAGCCCACCCAGCACTGTAGTTCATTAAGTCATTGCGGTTGAACCAAGCCACAGCAGGTGGTCGTATCTCTGGCTGAAGTGAGAAACGCAAACCCTCATGTCTCATGTCTCCCTCACTCTCCCTCAAGATTACAAACACCACACAGCACTGGAGCTTGTGGAGGTGCAGCCTGTTGCAGTGTTTGATCCGAGGTTAGAGATATGTTTAATAGGACTGTGTCTCTCAGAGAATGTGAGTGGATGTCTTAGGTGTGTGTGAGCATGTGTATGTTTCAGAGTGATCCCAGATGTTCTCAGTCATCTCTCAATAAGTGTGGCCTGATCCCTTTAAGCCCCTCTTTTCCAAACGGTTAGGCCACCTCAAGTGTCTGTGACCTTTCAACTTTGTAAACTGAAAGACCACCTCCTGGAGATTCAGAGATTTTTTTTCAGTGTTTTGCAGCAGACCTTTACTTGTAATAAGATATTTTAGGTGGGTGATCTTTCACACAGTTGTCTTTAGTCCAGAACCAAAATTTGATAAATGCAGAGCAAAACTGTTAAAAAATACTCTGTTTTTTAAAAAGATATTTCTTTATTTCCCCCTTGCTCCACACCTCTAATTTGTAATAGTCTGTATTGCGGTTCTCCAGCCCAAGCTGAGAAAACCCTCAAGACATCATCGGGGCTATTGTTCAAACCTTTAGAAGCTCACTCCAGAACCAAGCTCTTAAGACAAACTATAAATCCCAGTGGGGTTTAAAATGCTGACTGACATCACTCACAGAGACAT